ATATATGTATATATATATATATAGGGGACCTGTATATATATATATATATATATAGGGGACCTGTATATATACGTATACACACTAAATATAAGTTGGTATTATGGTGAATCACTTACAAACAAGCTTAATAAATAATGTAACCGATGACATAAAGACACACATTGAAAGGAGAATAAGAAGAGTATCTCAAGCTTCAAAGTTAAACACACGCTGCACGGCAGAGGCAGCTGGGGTTATAATTACCTTTAGCTTGCTTTAGCTCGCTTCCTGTAGTTCTGGTCCAGAGCTGGGCAGCAGACATGTGGGTCAGCAGTGAGGAGATGAGTTGTGAGGCCTGCTCCTGTTGGATCTCACCTCTATCAGCCTTCAGGGTGATATTAATCAGTCTCTCCTCCACCTGTGGCTGCAGCAAGGCCTCCTGGACACCAGGGGGCAGCAAAGACACACTAACTCCAAGCCATATCAGCTCCATGCCTGAGTGGTGCCTATGGCAACTCGGCAGCATGTCCTCCCATTTGGGAGGACTGGCAGTAGACAGTCTGCCAGTTGATTTGCTGTCACTACCTATAAGCTGGAGGGTGAAGATGTCTGAGGCGGGTCCAGCGACACACTTGTACACCCCGATGTCCTCTGCAGCCAGAAATTGGATCTTCAGAGAGCCGAATTTGGTGATGCCCAGGTGTTTGGAGCTGGGGAGGGGGCGTCCGTCTTTCAGCCATCGGATGTAGGCTTTGGGGAACCTTCTGATAGGGCATTTGATGACTAGGGAGGTGTTGGGTAGGAGGTAAGCATGGCCACCAACAGTCAGGTGGAGGCGCTTCTCCTTGCGAGTTTGGATGTAGATTTTGTGCAAATCCATGAGCAGTGGACACTGTTTAACCCCCTCCTCATAGCCTCTGGCCTTTGGTGGACGTCTCACTGTCTGTCTAACTTGGTTCTTCAACAGAACCTTCTGGTTTTCTTTGGGTCTCGTCTCTGTTGTAGGTAATAGGAAAGTGAGAGGTTAATGTTTTTAATGCAGACAACAATTTTACAAATTAATGGATGGATCTGTAATTTTTAATAAGACAGAAGTTAATAAAAGTTGAAAGAGAGGGATCATTGGAAAAAGAAATTCAACTGTTCCAACAATAAAATGACTTACTTGAGTTTTTTAGTTACCCGACAGTGTGCTTAAAATTTGTTGAACTATGGTTTGAAAAATGGGAGAGCAATTCAAGGCCATAGCTATTATTACTGGATGGATAGGCCTGCTTAAAAAATGAGTGGAGAAACATAGTAAATGCAGATACTTCCATACAGGGCACAAGAGCAGAGTGAATGGTCTGATAAGTATGAAAATGATGGCCTTCCAAGCCACCAGATTTGATCCCAACTCAACATCTACATCGGAGACTTTTAAGCAAGGTGTAAACACACTGTCCACCACCGTCATTAAAAGCTAAATGAGGGAATCTATGCCAAGGAACACTGAAGCTGTTCGGAAAGCTTGCAGTAGACCTTACAAAAACTGCGGTAACACTGTTTTTTTTCCATGCAACATTTGTGATCGGATGCGCCAGCTCTGAACTCAGCTGTGTTCGCATATGTGTGTTCACACTTGACACTTCAAAGCAACCTGTCTGATCTGATAGTGATCAGATATATTTTGTGGTCTGCAAATATGTTTGCTATTTACTATTCCTCCCTGCAGTATTAAAAGACTTATTCAATTGAAAAATAGCCGCTAAAAAAGCTCCGCTAATTTGGTGATAAACACGTGAAAATGTGTTGGAAATGTTGGGTCTTCATCAGCAGTTACTCAACACAACTTAGACAGCTGGTCTCAGCTGTGCCCAAGCCTCGTTTTTCCTCCTCTCTTTCTTTTGCTCTTGCACGGGAGAGGACCTACCATGTAGGGGGAAGATGATGCGAGACCTACGTTTGATGAATCATCCATATTGTTCCCACATGCTGACACTTTATGTTCCAACTAACAAAGGTTCTGCCCTCAATTTGCAGAAGCATAATGGGCCAATTAGGACATGGCTACTTGAATAAGTGCAGAGCCCACAGTATATAAGGCAACACACATCACTGCTGAACATCTCTTAAGCACATGGCGTTTGGCCTATACTGACAGCCTGAGGGAGTAGCTGCTTCGAGGACTTCGTCAGAGCCCATCATGTCCTGGCCTCATCACCTGGCCGATATTCATGACAGCTGCTTCAAGTAACCTGACCCGCTGCTGTCATTTGGAACCCTTTCAAAAAATATGTGGCAGGTGATTGGATGAACTCTCTGTCAATACAATTTGTACCGAAGCGAGTCGGGAGACGAGCAAAACATCTTTTCCATCAAGAAATCCCTCAGCGTCTTTGATTTTCCTTCAATGAATAAATACTCTCCAGATATACAGAACTAATGCAATTGAAACATCTACGCTAACTTCTTCTGGAACAGTGAAGTCACTCAAATAATGCCATATTGTCAATAATAAATAACAAAAATAAGACAACAGAACTGTCTGTAATGTTTATGTAAAGTATTTCTGATTCTGCAATGCTCCATCAAGACCTGTTGATAATTCCTGAGCTGGGCTGTAGCGTATGCTCATTTATACACGGCCGGCACAAAAGATTCACTAAATGCACATGTGAACGTACATTTTAGTGGGACTCAAGCACTTCAACCATATGCTTTAAAATCTGTATTGTCAAGTCTATGATCGGGTGTGGTCACATATACGCAGCGATAGCTACTTTGGCACGGTCTGAATGAGCAGTGGGAGGCTCCCTGAACTCTGTGAAGACAAGAACTCACTGTCCAGTCCATTTGTTTATGTTCCGCTAATAGACCCATTCTGGTGATGCTGTCAGAAATTAAATGTTTGAAGTGCATTCACAGATATACTCCACTTATGGACCAAAGCTGTGGATAACGTCAGGGCTAACTAACCACTTCAATTTAATCAGATGCTGGCAAGAAAGCCTTGGGAGTTATTTAATTTAGTTGAAGAAGACTAAACCCAACACATTCAGTCGCCATCATTCTGAGCACAGCTGCCCTTTACACCCTAGAGACCAATCTCTGGTGGCGTGTGCTGTGCACAAAAGTACATCATATTATTACAGTACAGTAGAAAGCAGAGGGTATTGAGAATTATACCGATTTCTTATTTCCCTGGTATAGCATAATACCTTAATACTGCCCACCAAGCCTTTGTAGAGGAGATTTATTAACTTATTTTTCATGACTGTCATTGCATCCCGTCACTGCAATGCAGTGACTGTAACCAAAAATAAATGCCTTTGAGCGTACACCCCTTATGCGCTTCAGTTACCACCCACTCTCTGAAGGCTAATCATTTCATGAAACCGCATGTGGCTTTTAGCACTGATCTTTGTGAATTGGACTTTTTTTCAATGATTATTTTAAACATAGAGAGGGACCAATTTTACCCAAATTTCTGCATAATACATAATTAAATATTTGCAAATCGCGAACGAGCCCGAGACACTATTTGTATGGTTTAACCTTTTATGAATTCGCCCCAAGTATAAAGAAAAGCAGAAAATTCTTCAATTCCACCTCAGGTACGCCTTTCAAATGTCTTTTTACAGGTCTTGAAGTCAATGATTTTTTTCAAATGGGTTCTTAGTTAGATGCCTGAAATAAGGTCTGCTTAAGAGGTTGTTTTTCAACATTAAATAAGTCTGCAAATACTGTATACTCAACTACTAAACATCATCTCGCCGAAAACTAGTCCGCCTTCAGTTAAATAGCGGTGACGTGAAGTAATGCAACTGTGGTGTAGTGCATTTATAGCCTAAAGTTAGCTTTTTACTTCTGCTGATTGCATTCATGTTTAAAATAATAAAAATCATGTTCATTTGTGAAGATTATCTTGCTGAACAAAACATGTAAGTATCACAAACTTAACATAACTGCTCTAACAAAAAGTAATAACAGGCGTGCTTAAGTGTTCCAGACTCTCCAAATAATAAGTGACTGGTAGCTCTGTAGACTTGCTAAGCTAATCATTGACTGAAATAACTGACAGCATGCCGTTTCAGGATAAGTGCACAGTCAGCACAAATGGTATGCAAAAATGGCGGTAAAGTCATGTTGTGTTTTGAGAGTGAAGGGTAATGGATTGGCCCCTTAGGGGCCGATAACACAGAGACACGTCACAACAGGTGCTGCCGCTTCAAAAACGCCTGTTGGCAAAGCGAGTTAGGCAAAACAGCCGATGAACCTGTGGAGCAGGGGTGCATGCGCAACCAGGCGATCAAACGTAAATAACGGGGAACAAATTGATTTAATGCAGACATCGAGCTCTTGCTGTGTTGCTCTGTTATTGAACGAGGAGAAGGGGAAGAAATATATAGTTCATCATCATTAAAAATTACAAATATCAATGTCCTCTCTTACCACATCTACCGGCATTAAAACAGGAAGTCAGTGGTAAAATAATAAAGCCCGCCTTTTGCTTGATTTGTTTGGCTGCCTCAAGTGTGACATTGATTAGTGAAGCGACTCTACGCCTGGCGCTGAAAAGTTGAAAATATTGAAACTTTCAAGCACGTCTAAAAACTGCCTGAAAACCGCGGCGCAAGAGAGGATCGAACGGCAGGAAAACAATTCGCGACGCGTCTCGGTTGTATCGGCCCCTGAAGCTTCTTTTGTGAAGAAAGAAACAGATTGACACATTGGAGGACATGATACTTGATTATGGGGTCAGATCAGTCTCAATATTAATTAATGCACATATATAAATTACTCACTTCACAAAAAATATTTCATTACATATAAACTAAAAGTAATTAATATTTCTGTGTGCAGTCATTAATATTAAAGGTATAACAAAATGTGTATGTGGTTGTGTGTGTTCTTACTGGGACAGGCCATCATGCGGCATGTTCGTACGAGTGGTGGGGGGGGCAACCCTGAGCACAGTTCCCTGGCCAGCGTCACCTGGTTGCCCATGGCTGTCCACTGGCGACACAGTGGCTCCCTACGCTGGATCCCCAAACCACAGGACAAGGAGCACTACAGATTGAAATAGAGTAGATTGAACAGTACAGGAATGTTTGTGACAAACATAATTCCACGGGTTTGACATATTCTACATGTCAGATCAAAGTTAATAAACTTCTGAAATCTCTGTAAAGTATCTTTTCACTTTGAAAACTGAAATGTCACGCCTGTATAAATCATTATCAATTAGTACTCTCTGTGTTTTCATTAAAGTCATCCAGGTGATGTTGATATTCAACATGAGATGACACCAAATATAAAATCAATACTAATGTCAATTTTTTCAGGTCCATATTTTTGTATTTTCAGGATGCTAGTTTTAAAAGCATTGTTCCAGAAAGTGGTCGGGCAAGTGAGTTCATTTCTGTAACGAGCAAGCTAGCTGCCAACACACTAGTCAGCCAACACAATAGCTCTGAAAGTTAGTTGGCTTGCTGACTGTTAGTTGGAGAATAGTTAGCTGGCCCATTTCTAATACTGCTAAACTATCTTCCATAACTCAATGCTCAAGTCTCTCAATAAGCATTTATGGCATTGGTTGGCCTCAAATAGTGAAATGTGAGATATGAAATTCTGAGATACAATCTACAATTGATATTAGATGTTGAAACCTTCATATTTTGTAGAAGTCAATGGTTAGCATACAAAAATTCAACACCCAATAAAATTTACTAGCATGTCCAAGACGTTCTCACTCCTAACTTGTCAACTACTGCCACTCTTCCAGTGGCCCTACGCTTCAGACTATGATTCTCTAGGTACCCCTTTAGCGACAGTTTTGCACTTGTCAGGTAGGACCACAGACTGTATATAGGAATTAGACCCAGCGGGTTTGAAGCCTCGACTTCGGCATTGCTATTGGCACTATCTTGGATGTGGACCGTCCATATCTTGTCCTTTTTGCAAATAGTGAACGGAAGTGACCATATTTGGATGGCCTGTCAAACACAAGGTAGCCACGCCCAAAAGCATATCCTGCTTTATTGCCTACTTCACTCTAAATGGGACTATTGTTTACATTTTCTTTTAGACTTCCATACAACTTATTTTTGCAACCAGAGGAGTCACCCCATAGTAGCCAGTAGAGAGAATGCAATTTTAAGGCACTTTCTAAAATTGCGAGGTTGCCGCCTGGGTATGACATTTCTGTTACCACTGGTTGTAAAATTAATTTCGGTGTTAACAGGAAAAGTGATGTACATGTCTCTTTTCAAAATAAAAGTCCAACCTAGGTTTACTTAATTTTTTTGTTTACTTTCGTAACAAAACTAATTAGTTAGGTTGTGGCAACAAAACTTGGGCGTTAAGTATGTAAGTTGCATAACAAAAGTAAAGTAAAAGAAGTCAGCATTGACGTGGTTTCACCCAGGATACAAACAGTGATGAAAGTTCTACGTTTGTTTCTTCTACATCCATGATTTTCATGCCAGAAGTTCCACTTTCACTTCAGGTCTCTATAAGTAAACAGTCCATTCAAGAGATGTATTTTGAGCAGTGTGTATTCATATGGGTATATGGGCTGAGCAGGATTATATAAACGTGGATGGCGTAACACAGTTCAGGGCTCTCTGGCTCTTCTTTCCCTCAGATTTCAGCATTGTCGAGGCATTTTGCTATTGGTTAATGCCACCAATTAGCCTACCTAAGTTCCCTAGTCACAGAAAACTTTGGCTGTGATTCCACTGAAAATAACAGATTTAGCTAATTTAGCTGTTACTTTTATAAATGAAGACTTGCTTGGGCCTTAGTTCAAAGTGAATGTTTCTCTGGAAATATTGAATATTATAATATATTGAAAACAGCAACTTTTTTTCAAGCTTGCAACCCTCCAGCTTTCCTTCATTTCTTTCATTCCTCCGCTTGCTGGAGCTCACCTTTCCCCATTCTCCTCCTGACAAATAGGGCAGACAGTCAATGTTGCTGCAACCCTTGTTAGTGGCAGGTTTGCCCTCCCAGCAAGCCCTGTCTCCAAGCCTTCTATGGGCCCCTGTGGACAGGAGCTGCTGACAGTAGACCTTCCGCACTTGGACACCCCCACCACAGGACTGGGAGCACTGGACAAAGGAAGCAGACAATGAACATGGAGGTATGAATGGAGGAGTTTTATCAGATTTCTTATTACACACATAATAAAATGCTTAAGCACATACACACAAACAAAGTCCACACCTGTTGCCAAGGCTCTGTCTCCCAGGCTGGAGGACAGTCCACCTGGTTGCAGGGTTGCAGGATGGCAGGCTTGAATTCCCTGCACTCGTCCTCTGACACAGTCAGAATATCCTGCTGGTCAACGGACAACAGACGCATGCAAAACACACTCCTGGTTTGGATGCCAACACCGCAGGATGCAGAGCAGCTGGTCCATGCTGTCACCTCCCATCTGCAAGAGATAAGAGGTCAGACACAAAATACTGCTAAATATTAGGATGGACTATGGAAGTGGAGACTTTTTTCCATTTCGCCCATTACATCTCTTCCTTGTGTCTTGTCATTTCCCACCCACCCTGTGCAGAAGAGATCAAATGTATAGTACTGAGGATAGAGGAATCAGGGCAACATGAATCTGAAAATGAAGCATTGTTACTCAGTCAGTCCATCATCATTTTTAAGTAGCATTAATCACTCATGATACACAGCTGTAACAGAACATTCAAGATTGTTTCATGTCATTAATGTCGCATTTTAGTTATTTTCTCGCACAAAACATTATGTGAAATGTGAAAATATAAGGTGAAAATTATAAATATTGTCACTTGAATCTTGACTATGGATGTCATAACACTGCATTAGCAGGCAAGCAAAAATCATACTGCAGCTAAAATATCATCTCTGTAAAAATAAAAAAGCCGAATCCTGTGGGAATGTTGTTTTATTAAAATTGGATCATATTATGCATGTTAAAGATAGTCATTAGCACTGGTGCACTATAAAATAATTACGTAAAAAAGAGCATTTCTTCAATTCTGTGCAAACAGGTGACACAGACATCAGCCAACAAGCTTGTGGTCATCTATAACTGTATTTGGATCAGGTGTAGTTTGGTGCATTTTCTATTATTAAAAATAACACATTTAAAGAATTGGGCAAACTGTTCCTCCAGGTATGAAAAGTGAAGCCAAAGTTTCTAAAACCTGCTTTCTCTCTACTGACCAGCAGGGGCCGACTCCTCTGGTTGCAAAAAGAAGTCTGATTGTATAGAAGTCAATGAGAAAATGACTCTACTTCTCACTTGATTTATTACCTCAGTAAACATTGTAAACATGAGTTTATGGGCTCAATCGTGAGTTTTAAGTCTTTTTCAATACAGCATGATGATATTAAGTAAATGATGGTACCATTCAGCATGCAAAATACCCAGTGGCAATCATGGATGCAAGCCAAGGCAATTAGGCTGTACACACTTTGCACACACACCACAAATTTGCTATTGAGGCTTTCAGGGGGTCTAAAGTGTCAATGACATTGTCAGTCTGTTTCGCACACTGGTCTCATTTAGGGTAGAAATGACAACAAAGCAGCGTATGCTTTAATGCGTGGCTACCTTGTCATTGATAAGTCGCTAACGCGGCGCTAACCATGGCACTGTGTAGGCCACATTTACATAGCCGTGAACTTGATAATAGGTGTTGCCCGTGTTTACAACTTATAACTTTGACCCTTTCACACTCAAAGTGAAAGTGCTGGAGCACAGGAATGTTTCAAAGAACCACAGTGGTAAATGTTAATTTGTGGCTAACCAAAACAAGCATCCCAAATAATATCACAGTTAATGTGAATTCATGATTTACCTTAGAGTTAACTTGTAACTTCACTATCTGGCTCCCAAAAAACAGTGGGTGACGGCATGACGGCTGTGTCCATTTCTTTTACACAGTGGTGTGTTACGCACAGTTAATTGGCCAGGAAACTCAAGGGATCAAACCGCCAATCTTCTGATTGAAGAGCCCACTCTACCACTGAGCCACACTCACGAGAGGTATACGTATTTCTAAGCAAATTTGCGCGCAAGGGGCAATGTCAATGCTGCAAAATAAATGTAGTCTTGGATTGTGCTCCAGAGTTATAAGCAGCGGGATCGTCTTTGTGTTCTTCCAAGGAGAGTGAGGATGATCATGAACATGTTTGTTTTGCTCACACGTATTGCTGTACAATAGCACAGGTATTATTTATCACATTAAACTCTTCTGGCCTGACAGAAAGCAATTGTTTTGCAACGCGATCGCTACAATTAAAGTAAAATGTGATATATATTTTCTAGTCATGCAATAATCTTGCATGTAATTAGCTTTTCTACCTGGTTGTCTTTCCAAAAAATGTGGATGGATGGAGGGATATAAGAAGTCCTGGAGGCAAACTTCTCCTGCATGCTATAGGCGCTAAGTGGAGAGCAGGGCCGTCCTTCAATCAGAGGATCGGCGGTTCGATCCCCGGCTCCGATAGACACTTAACCCCAAAATTGCTCCCGTAGCTGTGCCTACGGTGTAGAAATGTGATAGAATCTGAAGTGTAAGTCCCTTTGGATAAAAGCGTCTGCTAAATGACTGTAATGTAATGCTCACAGATTTTTAACATTGACGTGCCGGCATAATGGTGCTATATCAACATAATCAATTTAAATGGCCATTTGACAGTGGCAATTAGTCTGGTTTTACTTGAAAATGTTTTATGTGGCTTGTAACCTTGTGGTTTCTTACCTTGGGGGGCATGGCTCTGGGTAACAGATGCGGATCATTACTGGGGGCTTGCTGGATGAATCACACAGAGAGTCTTCCACTTCCTCACCCTGCTTCCTGTTAACACACCTCACAACTGCTGTCTGCTTCCCTAGGCAGAGAACACAGACAAGAATCAGATGGACATGGACAAAAGTTCAGAGCATTTCAATGGCCAACATGCATTTCAGAAACCTCACCAGCAGCACATGTGGCTGAGCAAACAGTGAAGCTCCTGTAGTCCCAGCTGTACAGTTCCTTTGTCTGCATGTTAAGGGACTCATGCTCCTGGAGGCCTGAAGAGATGCCTGGAACTTTGGTACATGGCCCATGGTTGCATGGCCTCTCCAGATGTGGTCTTTCTTCACCACACTCCTCCTCTGGAAGGTCCACCTCCGTCTTGGTGAATGAGAGTAGCACCTGGCACTTCACCTCCCGATTTTGCCTGCCAGGCCCACAGGTGTTGCTGCAGGCTGACCAGGGCCCGGGTACAAATCTAAACACAGGGGTGTAAAACATTCTGTATACAGAAAGGGCCGCAGCATTTAAATGTTTAAATTAGTTTTTGTATTTGGTAGCCAAACAGCACTTGCAATCAGCTGGAATTACAGTGAGATTTACAGTAATCAGTAATACAGATTAAATTGACAGAATGCACAAGATGGACAGAAAACAATGGCTAACAGACTACACCGGACTCTAGCAAAACCGTTAAGTCCCACCTGCTAGCAATTGAAAAAAGTGTTTTTAGTGGTATGAGTAATTTAAAAATGAACATAGTTCTAGATTGATGCATGACATAAAAAACCTTGGTTGCTGCTGATATTTACCATTAAGCATCCATTGCTACCAACTATGTCATACCAACTTGACAGGAAGGGGGCTAAATAATGCTGCAGTGATTTTGTAAGGGGAAAAACCGGCATGGCCGTATTCACAGGGGTACCTTAACCTCTCTCCTCAAGATATCTGAATGAAAAAGGTGTTCTATGGGTACAAACAAGCTCACTTTATGCTAATCCCATGCAGTTTGGGGCGAAACCCTGCTGTTGTTTGCATGCAAACCATTTTTGGAATAGGCGAAAACAACAAATTTATACATTTGTTGTCTTCGCCTATTCCAATTGCATTAATTGGGTATGACTGGAAAGCTGAGACTCCAGTTGATTCACTGAGCCCAATTGTATTCATGTGTGTTCAACGCTGTCCCATAGTAGCCATTTCATTGTAGTGAGACATTTCTTAAAACTTGACCTCCCTGTATGAAATTACCTGTTGTGACCTGGAGGATGAACAGCCTCATGAAACTGTCCTCTGAAACTGACATTTAGAGGACGTATGGCTTTCCTAGGTATATTGGCAATACTGGTTTCACGATCAGGCTTTGCCTTCTGTGTTCTGTATGTCTTTCTGGAGCTCCTCTCTCCTCACCTGTTCTAGCCACTATTTAAACCCCTGCCTCTCAGTCACTCACTGCCAGATCATTGTGTTCTACCCACCCGTTTGGCTTGTCCTGTTCCCGGTTTCCCCGTCTGCCTGCCTTGTCTTGTTCCTGCTGGACTTTCCCCCTCGTCTCTTGTCTTATGCTTGGACTCCTTGTTGTGTTATAAACAATGTTGACGAAGTTGTTGGTGTCTTAATGTGGGATTTTCGTGGGATTTATGAACATTTGTAACAATTCTTGAGTGAAAATTTATTTTTAAATTTAAGTGTCACAAATGTTACTATTTCTGAGACATTGATTAACATGTCCATTATATACCTCCATCATAATGTTCTAAGCACTTATTAGTTTGAATAGGCCCCACAAAACACAATGTTTACTACAAATTTAAGACTAGAAACTTGACACACAGCGCTGAGCTACATCTCAAATTAATCTTCAGGTTCCTAGCTTTCAGATGATGTATACTTTTACATGCAATTTTATGGGGCTTACTATAATGTATATGTTTCTCTGATAAAAACAGTCTCTTCAATTCAAGTTAAGCAGCATGCTCCAAGCTTTTCGGAGCCACCAGTCAAATGTTCAGGGGTGTGTGTTTGATATACTCTTTGATATTCGGACATGCACGTTATTAACGCTGGGTTTGTGGCATTGGGGGTAACTACCAGAGCTGAGCTTCATAAGCTCATCAAATGAATGTGCCTTGCATAAGATTTGCTTGGCTGCATGGGATAACAAATGTGCCGGGACCTGCCGAAGGTGTGTGTGTAAGGTGTTTGAGGTGTGTGTGAGCTATGAGAGCTAATGGATCCCAGGGAGGCTATCAGAGCTGACCAGGCCCAGAGCAGCAGGCAATAATCACATGCTTATCATCAGCAGCGAAAACAGAGGAAATGTAGACGGACAGACTCACATAGCCCTGGCTAAGCTGTGTCTTTGTCTGTGTGTCTGTGTGTGCGTGTATATGAGGTGTGAAAGAATTGAGCACACTAACGCACAGTACCTTCAACGCTACACGCTACACGCTGTACGTTTACACACATGGTAGCTTTGGCTACCATGTGTGTAAACGTACATTGAAACACACTTGAAGTATATTTGATAGCTGTGCGTATAGGTGGGCATGGTAAGCTACATTTGGTGCACTGCAGTAAATACCTACAAATATATGTTGCTCTCCCAGTTGGTGAGCATAAAGGGAGGCAGCACTGACTATTTATATTGATAAATGGTAAATGGACTCGAAGCACTTTAACACTACATGTCATCATTCATCCATTCACACACATTCATACACTGATGGCAGGGGCTACCATAAAAGGGGCCACCTGCCCATCAGGACTCTAACTAACATTCAACCCATGCCTACCGCCTACGGGAGCAATTTGGGGTTAAGTGTCTCGCCCAAGGACACATCGACATGGATTAGCGGAGCTAGTCTAGGGGATCGAACCGCTGATCCTCTGATTAGAGGATAACCATGATCAAAATTAACATACTGCTTTTGTCCAACCTCTACAACCTGGATAATAATAATAATAATAATAATAATAACTTTATTTATATAGCATCTTTGAAAACATCCATCCATCCATCCATTTTCCTCCGCTTATCGGGTCGGGTCGCGGTGGCAGCAGGCCAAGCAGGCTGACCCAGACTTCCCTCTCACCGGCAACATGTTCCAGCTCATTCTGGGGGATCCCGAGGTGTTCCCAGGCCAGCTGGGAGATGTAATCTCTCCAGCGTGTTCTGGGTCTCCCTCGGGGTCTCTTCCCAGTTGGACGTGCCTGGAAAACCTCCAGTGGGAGGCGTCCAGGAGGCATCCTAATTAGATGCCCGAACCACCTCAGCTGACTCCTTTCGACGAGAAGGAGTAGCGGCTCGACTCCAAGCTCCCTCCTGATGACCGAGCTCCTTACCCTATCTCTAAGGCTGAGCCCGGCCACCCTACGGAGGAAACTCATTTCGGCCGCTTGTAGCCGCGACCTTGTCCTTTCGGTCACGACCCAGAGTTCGTGACCATAGGTGAGGGTAGGAACGTAGACCGAGTGGTAAATTGAGAGCTTTGCCTTCCGGCTCAGCTCCCTCTTCACCAAGACGGCCCGGTGCAGCGCCTGCTTTACTGCTGCAGCCGCACCGATCCGCCTGTCGATCTCCCGCTCCATCTTACCCTCACTCGTGAACAAGACCCCGAGATACTTGAACTCCTTCGCTTGAGGTAGGCACTCCGTCCCCACCTGGAGGGAGCAATCCACCGGTTTCCGACAGAGAACCATGGCCTCAGATTTGGAGGTGATAACTCTCATCCCGCCGCTTCACACTCTGCTGCAAACCGCCCCAGTGAATGCTGGAGGTCATGATCCGAGGAGGCTAACAGGACCACATCATCTGCAAATAGCAGAGAGGCGATCCCGAGACCCCCGAGACTGACGTTCTCCGCCCCCAGGCTGCGCCTAGATATCCTGTCCATGAAAATCACGAACAGGACCGGTGACAAAGGGCAGCCCTGGCGGAGGCCAACACCCACCGGGAACGTGTCTGACTTATTGCCGAGAATGCGGACACAGCTCCTACTGCAGTCGTACAGAGACCGGATCGCCCGTTGTAACGGGTCCGGCACCCCATACTCCCGCAGCACCCCCCACAAGAACCCCCGAGGGACCCGGTCGAAAGCCTTCTCCAAGTCCACAAAGCACATGTAGACTGGTTGGGCAAACTCCCAGAACCCCTCCAGTAGTCTTGCGAGGGTAAAGAGCTGGTCCACTGTTCCACGGCCGGGACGGAATCCGCACTGCTCCTCTTGAATCTGAGGTTCGACAAGCGGTCGGAGCCTCCTTTCCAGCACCCTGGCATAACCATTCCCCAGGAGGCTGAGTAGTGTGATACCCTGGTAATTCGAGCACACTCTCCGGTCCCCCTTTTTGAAGATGGGAACCACCACCCCGGTCTGCCATTCCATGGGCACTGATCCCGACCCCCATGCGACATTGAAGAGGCATGTCAGCCAGGACAGCCCAACTATGTCCAGCGCCTTCAGCATCTCAGGGCGGATCTCATCCAACCCCGGCGCCTTGCCACCAAGGAGCTTTTTAACTACCTCAGCGAGCTCTGCCAGGGATATGGGTGAGCCTCCCCCTAGGTCCTCAGGCGCTGCCTCCTCTGCAGAGGACATGTTGGTCGGGTTTAGGAGTTCCTCAAAGTGCTCTTTCCACCGCCCGACGATGTCCTCCGTCCGGGTTAGCAGTCCCCCCCCCCCTGCTGAGAACAGCCTGGGGTAAGCCCTGCTTTCCCTTCCTGAGCCGTCGGATGGTTTGCCAGAACCTCCTTGAGGCCAACCGAAAGTCCTCCATGGCCTCCCCGAACTCCTCCCATGCCCGAGTTTTAGCATTCGCGACCACCGCAGCTGCAGCCCTTCTGGCCTGCCGGTACCTGTCAGCTGCTTCAGGAGACCCCTGGGCCAACCAGGCCTTGAAGGTCTCCTTCCTCAGCTTGACGGCTTCCCTCACCTCCGGTGTCCACCACCAGGTTCTCGGGTTGCCGCCACGACAGGCACCGATGACCTTCCGGCCACAGCTCCTAGCGGCCGCAATAGAGGCTTTGAACATGGTCCACTCGGATTCCGTGTCCCCAACCTCCCTCGGGATGTGTGAGAAGTTCTTCCGGAGGTGGGAGTTAAAGACCTCCTGGACAGGGTCCTCCGTCAGACGTTCCCAGTTCACCCTCACTACACGTTTGGGTTTGCCGGGTCTTTCCAACCGGTTCCCCTGCCATCTGATCCAACTCACCACCAGGTGGTGATCAGTTGACAGTTCTGCTCCTCTCTTCACCCGAGTGTCCAAGACATACAGCCGCAGATCAAATGATACGATTACAAAGTCGATCATTGATCTCCGGCCTAAGGTGTTCTGGTACCAGGTACACTTATGAGCCACCTTATGTTCGAACATAGTGTTCGTTATGGCCAAACCGTGGCAAGCACAGAAGTCCAATAACGAAACACCATTCGGGTTTAGATCGGGCAAGCCGTTCCTCCCAATCACCCCCCGCCA